TGGTGTCTTCTTAGGTTACTGTTATTAGCAAAGGTCTTTCCACACTCTATGCATTTATATGGTCTCTCTCCTGAGTGGATCCTTTTGTGTATTTTTAGGTCTCTGCTCTGAGTAAACATCTTTCCACACTCCTTGCATTTATATGGCTTCTCCCCTGTGTGGATCATCTTATGGGAAATAAGATTACTTCTTCGAGTGAAGGTCTTTCCACACTCCATGCATTTAAATGGTTTCTCCCCTGTGTGGATCCTTTCATGGGAAGTAAGTTTCCTGCTTGTCCTAAAATATTTTCCGCATTCCAAACATTTATAAGGCTTCTCTTTTGTGTCAATCTCTTTTTGAGCTGTAAGGAAGTTATTCCCAAGAGAAAGAATGAATGTCCCATTGTAATTTTGTCCATTGTGTCTTCTTATAGCATCTTCTCCTTTGTTTTGGGTTAAATAGTTTTCATTTACTTGTACTTTACCTTTGAATAGCTTCACACTTTTTCCAGTATATTTTTTCCTTATTTTCTCTTCTTGGGCAAGAAAGTCTTGCATCGGAGTATCAGTGGAAGATGAGCTTTCCTGAGTCCAATTCTTTGACTGGTTTCTCTCATGGCTTTCGAATTCCATTCGAATTCCAAACTTCTCCCTTCCATCTTTAGCACTGATCACTTGGAACAGTTCACAGGAATTTTGATTCTCCTGCCCATTATAACCTTCAAAGCAAAAGGGAAATGAAAATGACAACGAGGTTAGAGAAAAAGATCAGAGTGTAGAAAGTCAAGTGAATTTCCTTCTGAATTTCTCCAAAATCCCATTAGGTTGTATATTTGCATGCCTACAGTAGTGTGATATAGACATGATTTCTATATTCATGAGCCATGAACGCTTTGAAAATATCTGGAAAACATCTCTTCCTTTACAATTATCTAAATATATGCAAATCTCACTCAGAATTAGTTCTGAGTTAAGGAATAGAATAGCTTAATTCCCTCTTCTTTGTGGCAGCCCCTGAGATAATGGAAAACTGCTATCATGTCTCCCCTAGTCCTTCTTTTCATTAAACTAGACATACCCAATTCCAGCAACCATTCTTTATATGTTTCCGTCTCTAGTCCGCTAATCATCTTTGTTGATCTTCTCTGCACTCTTTCTAGAGTCTCAACATCTTTTTTACAATCGTGGCAAACAAAACTGGATGCAGTATTCCAAGTGTGGCCTCACCAAGACATTATCAAGAGGTATTAACACTTCACGTGATCTTGATTCTATCCCTCTGTTTATGCAGCATAAAAATGTGTTGAAATTTTTTGGCAGCTGCTGTACATGGCTACCTTATATTTAAATGGCTTTCCACTAGGACTCCAACATCCCTCTTACAGTTATTACTATTGAGCAAGGTACCACATATACTGTACCTGTGCTTTTTTTTTTTTTTTGCCTAAATGTAGAACCTTATTTTTTCACCATTGAATTTCATAATAATCAGCGGAAACATCCACGGGGGAATTTAGAGAAAACTTAAGATTTATTGGGGCACTGCAGTATTTTAGGCCTGTGTTCTTTAAAGAACTGAGGGCTACATGACATCTAGGTCTTTGAAAACAAAGAGGCTTTCCCTCTCTTTTGCCCTGGATCTGCTGCAGGCCTTGGTTAGCAATCAACAGAGGCCTAAAGCACTGTAGCGCGAGATCACGTGAGATCAATAGTGCTAGATTTCCCACTACTGATCTCGTGTATCTCTCACTACTCTTTTTTCTGCAATGCACTGAAGTAGGCAAGGGAACCGAGGGCTTGCCACATCGTCTCAAGGTAGAAAACAAGAAAATAAAAGTGTTTGGTCTCCACGTGTCTCATTTATGCCCTCCCCGGCATCCAGAAGCACTCTCCATGCCAAAAACGGGCCCATATTTGGCCTCCCAAACCCTCTGCATGTCCTATTCTCAGCCTTCCTGATGTCGCAGAGGGCAAAAATGGGACCCACAGAGGCCTCTGGAGACCAAAAGTAGGCCTGTTTTTGCCCTGCATAGTGCTTCTGGACACCAAGGAGGGCAGTAACGGAACGCGCTGAGGATTAGGGAGGCCAAAAACAGGCCCGTATTCGCTTTATAAGACGCACAGTTATTCCCACCCACTTTTTGGGAGGGGAAAAGTGCACCTTATAGTCTGAAAAATATGGTAAGTCCCTGCAAGATGGGGTGGGGGAATAGGTAGGGTGAATATTGTAGCGCCTCTACTGTCATTCGTAAGTGTGAATGATGATCGTGGTGCTGCAACACTCATAAATTTTGGGAGTGGGTCTCAATACTTGGAGGAGGACTGGTTGTAATTTGGAACGTTTGCTAAGTGAACTGTCCTAACTCGGGGCTTACCTGTACCCTAGGATGCTGTGAGTCACACTGCATGAGGCCTTTTTTCTTGAATTGCATTGGGAGAATGCTCTTCCATGGGCTGAGCATGAAAGTTCTGTTCTCACACAATTTGGGGAGGTTCCAGAGGACAAATGACAACACACTCCTCTCACACGACCTCCAAAGAACACATAAAAGCACACCTTGTTCTTTTCAGCCTCCATAGATAAGTTCAAATAGAAATGGAAAAATACAGATAAGAAACGGCACAGAAAGACATTGACTCTTTCCTTCCTTGGAGCATGACAAGGCCAGAACCTTTCCTTCTACTTCCCAGGAGACAATATCCGATTAGTGTTTTTTAAATAAAAAAAACTAACTATAATCTCTCTTCTTGAACTCTGATTGGGGACTAGAAAACTCTTACCCAGAGAGACCACGTTCCTATAGTTTTCAAGCATGACTTCTGAATGCAGCGCTTTCTGGTCAGGATCCAGCTGAGACCATTCCTCCTTAGAGAAATACACAGCTACTTCTTCGAAGGACACCAAACCCTCCTGGACACGGAAAAAAGAACAGAAGAGGAGGATTCGCAAGATCTGTTCATCTTCATCATTGATTTAGACAAGAGGATAGAAGAGGAATTCATCAACTTCCGGTTTGGGCTTCTTCAGCAACGGACCAAAATAACGATCGTGTGCAGTTTTGATCTGTGCTCGCCGCTGTAGCGCCCCAAGCCGCCCGGATTTGGGGCTGAAACCACCCCGTAGAGGTGGTGAAGAAGGGGGAGCCGTCAGCCGGGTTGAGTAGAGCCGCATCTCTCCTTGGCTAGCCATTACTCCCTTTCCCAAAGGCGTTTGCAGCGGTGGTCAGAAATGGCCACTTCAAAGAAGAACCCGACCAGACAAGATTGTGCAGGAGGAAGTTTAAAGGAGAAAGCTTGACTGACCGGGTTGAATGGAGAACATCTATTTAAGGTACCTGGAACCTGAACTTTAAAGACTAACTATTCCTAAAAAAGATTTTAAGCGGCAAAAGAGAAAGTGAAAGAAATTGAATTGGCTTTTTTTCCTTTCACATTGACAGGTTTAATTGACTTTAAACAAGATTTGAAAAAAGATACAAAGGTGTTACACTCCAGTCTAGTAATTACAGGGGAAAATTTGTGTTATGAGAAAAGATAATATGAAATTGTAAACAGGACAGACAAAAGTATAAAAACATTGATTAGATTTTAAAAATTAGAAAAAGATATGTAATTGAATTAAGAAAGGAATGAGATAATTTAAAATAAGGCTATAGGAAGTAAAGAAAGGGAAAAGCTATTGAAAAAAATGCAAAAATAGTTATGATATGGCTTAGAATGTATAAGATAAATATGTATTGAGTTTATGTCTGTATGGAGAAGTGATAACCCGGGGTCACACTGTTTTCAAAAAAAGATATTTTATTTGTATTTGTATGTTTGTGAAAATTTAAATAAAACTTTTATTATAAAAATAAAGAGGAATTCATCAAATTTGCAGACAAGACCAAATTGACAGGAAATACCAAAACTCCAGAAGATAAGCTCGAGATACAGAAGGATCGACAGATGGGGCCCCATCTAACAAAACGAAATCAACAGTGAGAAATGTAAGGTTCTACATTTAGAAAAAAACAAAAAACAAATGCACCGGCATAGAATAGTGATACCTGGCTCAACAGTAGTAAGTGCAACAGGAATCTTGGAGTCCTAGTGGACAACGACTTAAACATGAGTCAGCACTAAGTTTCAGTTGCCCCCCCAAATCCCAACAGAATCATAGGCTCCATTAAGAGGAATAGAATCAAGATGACATGAAGTGTTAGTACCACTTTATAATGCCTTGGTAAGACCACACTTGGAATATTACATCCAGTTTTGGTTGCCAGATGTAAAAAAGATCTTGAGACTCCAGAAAGAGTGCAGAGAAGAGCAACAAAAATTATTAGTGGACTGGAGGCTAAAACATATAAAGAGTGGTTGCTAGAATTGAGGATGTCTAGTGACATGACAGCAGTGTTCTAAGAAGCAATGGATGGAAACTATTCGAGGAAAGAAACAACCTACAAGTAAAGAGAAATTTCCAGACAGTGAGAACAATTAATCAGTGGAATGACTTCCCTCCAGGAATTATGGATGTTCCAACACTGGAGGTGTTTATGAAGAAATTGGACAGCCATTTATCTGAAATGTTATAGGGCTTCCTGTCTGAGCAGGGGGTTGGACTAGAAGACCTCCAAGATCCCTCCCACCTCCGTTATTCTGTTTCATTGTTCCCAAATTCCCAAAGCAAAAATATGCACTAAGTTAAATGGCTGTGCGTCACCCAAGTCCTAATTTTAGGTGAGCAAATGGGCAAATCTGCAAGTTGCTTTCAGTGAAGAAATATTTGGGGAAGTTTTATCAAGTTCACTGATTCTGCAAAACCTTCAGTGCCTTTCAGCAAAGTAATCCCACTTCTGGATCAAATGATCTATCACTCTGTCTATCATTGATTGATCTAGTAGTCTGAGCCATTGGCTGAAAGGAAGAAAGCAAAGAAGAAAAAATGCACTGGGAAAATCATTTCTCAGCCTTTGCAAAGCGGGAAAGTTTGATTTCCTAATTGAGGTGCAAACCAGAGGACTGGAAATTATTTTGTAAGCCAAAGTACCATGATTACATGCTCAACACAGCCACTCTGGAGAGAGCCCTCTGCACACCCGCTTCACTTCCTGAAGGAAGAATAGAAATCTAATATCTTTTCCCTTTCTTACTTGATTTGGAGCTTCAACTGCTGTTTGATCTCCATCATAAAAACCAGAAAGCTTCATTCTTTGTTTCTCTGTAAGGAATAATTTCCAAATCCATGATTAACAAAATAGGAGGAGGTATTCTACAGAAGAGAAGGGAGAGCGAAGGTAAGAGAGATGGGGAATTAGAGGCTATTCCATTACCTCCTGAAGTGTCTTGACATGGATTTTCCCAAGGGATCCTCCTGAAAAATAGCTCCTGAGGGGGATTTGATGGGTTCTTCTTTCCCTCAGGATCTCTGATCTCCACAGTGCAGCACTTCAAATAGGAGGAAGGAAGGAAGAAGCAGAATTAAGGTCCGTCACAAGACACAAAGTGGATTCTTATATTTGGAACACAACCTCAAAGCTCCCAATATCCATCCGTGTGGCTGAGTGAGAAAACAATGGAACATTGTCCTACAAGAACTGGTGAATTGCCACATATTATCAACGTGGGAGAAGTTTGGGAAGGAGGGGTGAAGCATTCAAACACTCTCTATTTATTCCCTTCCAAGCTCCCTAAAGCCTCCCACCTGCCACTGGAGCTGCTCCTTCTGCTCCTCCGCCTGGCTCAGGAGGAAGCCTTCCGCCAGGGCCACCGCCTGGGAGCTGCTCTCTGCTCCACACTCCTGCACCCAGCCCTCCATCTCTGGGGGCAGGAGAGCCAGGAGCCGCTCCAGAACCACCAGGTCCAGCATCTGGGCTTTGCTGTGTTTTCCTGGGTTCAGCCATCGCCTGCACAAGTCATGGAGTCGGCTGCAAAGTTCTCGGGGACCCTCAGCCTCCCGATATTGGATGGAGCTCCAGGGCGGAACTTCTGAAGGGAGGATGGTTCCCTCCTGCAGGACCTTCTGCTCGGTTCTGGTCCAGCTCTCCCCACAGCTCCCAGGCTGAAGAACCATGGGGCCTTTTCCGCTCCCCTCCTTGGCCAAAGGGGGTGTCTCCATCCTTCCTCTCATCAGCAGAGCAACTCCAAAGGGCTCCTGGGACTCGGGGTGGTGGTCTCCAGGGGCCTCTTCCTTCACGGGACCATTTCTGGGGAAGCAAGACAGATCCCTGCCTGACCTTCCACTCCCTTCCTTCCCCCACAGAGGAAATCCTGGCTTGCAAAGGATGCCGAGGGCTCCGAGGTTCCGGATCTGGGAGGGAGAGAAAAACCGACGCCCAGGATCAGAACGGGGGATTCAACCCTTGGACCCCCTTCCCCCAACCTGCCCCGAGCTCCAAGCTGCTCCTTCCAGCACACGGCCCATCCCATCCCACAGCAGGGCCGGGAAGGAGGCAGCTGTAGAG